ATATATATATATATATATATATATATATACACACACAAAATTAATAATATATGTAAATACATACATTGCCCTTAAAAAGTTTGGGGTCAGTAAAATTGTTTTAATGTTTAAAAAAAAAATCTTATGCTCAACAGGGCTATATTTATTTAAAAATATTGTAAAAACGGTAATATATGGTGTGATATATACAGTATTATATATACATATATACAGTGGGGAAAAAAAGTATTTAGTCAGCCACCAATTGTCAAGTTCTCCCACTTAAAAATCCTACAATGTGATTTTCTGGATTTTTTTTTCTCATTTTGTCTCTCATAGTTGAGGTATACCTATGATGAAAATTACAGGCCTCTCTCATCTTTTTAAGTGGGAGAACTTGCACAATTGGTGGCTGACTAAATACTTTTTTGCCCCACTGTGTATATATATATATATAAATATTTTTTTTTCTCCAACTACATTTTGGGGTTACTCCATATATGTAAATGGATGATATCTAACCTCTTTAAAGCAGGGTGAAGGGTTGCGGATCTGTTCTAGCATGGCCCACTTGACAGTGGCCTGTCGAATGTTTCCGTCGTACTCTCTGGAGCTCTGCGTTCCACTCGGCGTGCCCCGGGAACGCTCGTAACCTGGTTCATTGAAGTATGGCTCAGCCACCAGAATCAGAGACTGGATTGACACCAGCACCTAAAACACACACAACACACGTTTTAGAAAGCCTAGGAGGAATGACACATGGATCAAGTGGAAGAGGTGAAGAGCACACCGACTCTCACTGACCACAGCACAACTGTGTCCCTGTGCCTGATTTGCATTTATTGATCAGCTGGACGCTAACTGTAGCACTAATCAATGGAGACATTTCTATGAACTGATGGCAGCAGTACATGAGCACGAGTGTGAGGAGAGAGAGGAGCAGAGCCTGATCAGATCAATATTACAGGAGGAAACTGCTCCCCTGCCTATTATTCAGAGAAGTATGATGGAGAGAGGGAGGGAAAGGGGTTGAGATGTGGGAAGATAATTACTGTAGGGAAACCAGGATGAGAATGTTGTAAAATCAACGGTCGATGTGCAGGTGACGGTGATATGACTAAATATTCTCTAAAAGTGATGAAATGAGAGGTGGTCTTTTCCGGCAGTTCACTGCTTCAGATATACCGGAAAGAACTATCTGCAAAAAACCATCTGCGAAATCCTTCCCTCCTACTGGGTATTGGCTCACCTGTAGAAAGCTAGAGGTCTGAGGGTTCCATTTCTCCTCGGGACGCCCGTGCCAGGTGTTCAGGATACTTAAACACACCTGGTTGTTACAGAATGAATGAGAGACAGTACCAAGAGATCAGGATTAAGTGGAAAAAAACAAAAAAAACAATTAAACTAAACAACATTAAGTCATATAAACATATAAATAATTTTTTTTTATCCATTGGCCAATATTTGACCATTTCTGAGAAAAGAAACAAAATAATATAAAGAATAAAAACAAAATAATATAAAATAATAAAATAAAATACATACATAAAAAAAACATTCATTTTTAAATTTCCAACCTACTGTTTAATTATCAGTATTTGCATCAGTCATCGGTCTAAAAATTTCTTGAAAAAAAAAAAACATGACACTAACCTTGCCATCGTTGTAGAGGTTTGGATTAAAACGGACGCTGTGGCCGCCGGTGGTCTCCAGATTAACCAGAGGAGGGGAGTTTGGGTAATCTTGAGGAAAATAGACGTCAAATTCGAAACAGCCATTGGCATATGGTGTGTCTGCAGGCCCTGTTATCAACACCTGAGACAAAAACCAAGAAAACAGCCATTAAAAGACAGCGACCCTACATTCATTCAAAGACGACAAACATTAAAATCAAAATCATTGTGTTGAACAGCACTGGAATGATTGGCATGTTTAAACGAGGTCTATAGGGGAAGTTGCACTGACACACACAAAGTGATGTATCCCGCTTCCCACAGAAGGAGTGAGAGAGAGGACGATCGGAGGACTGTCATGCCATCCAGTGAATCTCTCTCCACTGCAGGCAGTAGAGCTGCATTTAGGCGTTAAGACTGTTTTGACAAGACCATTCAAACGCAACAAAACACACACACAAAGCTGTGCTCACACACTCGGTGTAGGTTAAATCCGGAAAGCTCAGTCTTTAAATTACTTTTTTTCCACATCAATCTACACTCCATACATCATACTGACAAAGCAAAAACAGAATGGTCACAACTTCGCAAATGTATTAAAAATAAAAAACTGAAATAAGTACATTGCATAAGTATATATATTATATACATAACTAAATATTAGTCTTTTTTTTTTATGCGACAAGCTTTGCACATAAGCATTTTGCAATTATCTGCCATTCTTCACCTCACCTGTTCACCTCTCAAGCTCGTCATGCAGCAGAGATCGAAAGATTCATGTTGACCCACAGTAAACAGCAAGGCGGGACAGTCATGGGTTGCTCTCATATTCAGCACTGAGATATCCGATTCTTATTGACTGATTCATTTAATTAGTCAATTCACATGAGTTGATTCTTTAATGTTATAAATTATAAACAATAAATAAATAACTTGTTTGAATTGCCACTCAAGCACAAAAATATTATGTGTCTTAACTGAAGAGAGGATTGAGTTTGGCCACACCGCCATAAAGACTGATTTGGTGGAGTGTGGCAGCGATGTTTGTCCTTCCGTAGATTTCTCCTATCTCCACATATGATCATGGAGCTCAACTAGAGTGACCATCTACAGGACACTACTTTCGACCAATCAGACATCCTGACTGCGCTGCCTCTGGCACTTTAAAAAAAACAAAAAAAAAACAGAGCATACTAATTAAGCAGTTAAACGGGGTGGTAAGTGTAATGTCTTATTGCTCTTATCATATGGATTTTACTTATGGATAGTGACAGCAGCATTGATCCGCCTCACCATATTTAACGCCCCTTTCATTCAATCATCATGGAGAGAATGAGAGCATAAGATACCCAAGGGAGGGTGATGGTTATTATATGTGGATGTGCTGATGTGGTTCTCCGACATAACCCTGGAAAATCCTGCTATTTCCAAACCTTACCTCCTCATGACCACAAGGGTTCATGCTAATGCTCAAAGGTCTAAATTCCCCTTAGCTTTGCTCTAGAGGACCTCAGAGGGACACAGTTTGTACATGTTAATAAACGGATGTGACTTATCTCAAGAGCTTTGAATCCCAGGATTAGGAATTGCCATGGTCACATTGGTTTTTCTGTGGTCAGCATAGAGGAACTAAACTTTGATCACACAACATCCCTGTCTGAAAATACACCCTGGCTATGACTAAGGGCCACTGGTTCAAATAGACGATCTTCAAGAATTAGCATGACATAGATTAAGTCTAGCCTGACAAACCAAACTGCCCAGTAAAGCTGACTCTCCATTTAAAACTCCTTGGAGAAAACGATCAGGCTTTAGAGAGCCTGCCGGCTCTGGTGCGGCACTGTGCTGAAGAGTCGTTTCTCTTTGGCTTATTTTGTCAGAGCAAACAGTCACTCCATGTCCCTCGAGGCCCTCAGACAAGCAGGGAGTGTGTCTTCAGCATGTGAAATACACACCACCCCTCTCCTGACAGACCACTATACATCCAGCACTGTCGTGCTTCTGCTTCTGCTCTGTTTCAAGTCTCAAGCACCTAAGAAATAATGCCCTAGAGAGAGACAGAGCATTAAGATCATTTGCACAGGGGGTTTTAGTGTGAAATGTGCTTCAAAGGGCGCAGAAAATTTCATGGGTATGATTATTTCAATATCTTTAAACATTATGAAAAGATTAGTTAAATGTACATAAGTCTAAAGTTTGGACACACTTGACTTGATTCATGATTAAAAACGCTGGCATACACACGCAAAAGCTTTTGCATTTTAAATTAGTTTTGTAAACACATGCACTACTGGTCAAAAGTTTGGGGTCAGTACGATTTTTAAATGTTTCTCCAAGGCTGCGTTTATTTGATCAAAAATACAGTAAAAATAATATTAAGAAATATTATTGCAAATAAAAATAACTGTGTTCTATTTTTTTTTTATATTTTAAAATCTAATTTATTCCAGTGATGAAAAGGCTGAAATCATGCTAACATGCTGATTTGGTGCTCAAGAAAAATAGCTTATTATGAATGTTGAAAAGGAAACTTTTGATGAAGTTGGTTGAGAATGAACAAAGCTAGAATATAGACAAAGGTCGACTATGATAAAGAAGCTAAATTATCAGATGTTTTTGATTTGTCGCTACATAATTTCCATTTGTGTACTGATGACTTTATTGTTATTATTCTAAAACTTAAAGGGATAGTTCACCCAAAAACAAAAATTTGATGTTTATCTGCTTACCCCCAGGGCATCCAAGATTGTAGGTGATTTTGTTTCTTCAGTAGAACACAAACTAAGATTTTTAACTCAAACCGTTGGAATCTGTCAGTCATATAATGGAGGTGAATTGGAATCACGGCTTTGAGAGTGAAAAAAACATACACAAACAAAACCAAATTAAACCCTGCTGCACGTGACGATACATTGATGTGTAAAGACACGAAACGATCGGCTGTGCAGGAAAATGAACAGTATTTATATAGTTTTTTTTTTACCTGATTCACCGCAATGTCAGGCGTGTTCTCGTCTTCTTCAGCCGGCGGGTGACGCGTCGTCTTCTTGCGGATCGCAGACTTATAAGTGCATTACAGCCACCTATCTCTCAAATGGACCCCTGACAACTCCTAATTGAGATTGTGGATAGAGGGTCAATGGTCTATTTGAGAGATAGGTGGCGGTAATGCACTTATAAGTCTGTGATCCGCCGTAAAGCAAGATGACGACGACACGTTACGCGCCGGCTGAAGAAGAAGATGCGAAGACGCTCTGGATTGCGCCTGACATTGCGGTGAATCAGAGGTAAAAAAAACGATATAAATACTGTTTAGTTTCTTGCACAGACTGATTGTTTCGTGTCTTTACACATCAATGTATCGTCACGAGCCGCAGGGTTTAATTTGGTTTTGTTTGTGTATGTTTTTTTGACTCTCAAAGCCATGATTCCCATTCACCTCCATTATATGACTGACAGACTGCAACGGTTTCAGTTAAAAATCTTCGTTTGTGTTCTACTGAAGAAACAAAAGGGCCTTTCGCACCGCTTTAGTTCCAGAACTAAATGTACAGTACTAAAGTACTGGGAAGATTTTGCGCGAACTACTTCCCAGTACCATTTAAAGGGTTTCATTTGCACCGACAGTGTGTACTTGGAAGTGATGTAAGTCGGTCGACAGCAACATCCTTTGTGCACGGCGTTCAACAACAGAAACAAAGAAGAACAACGTTAACAACAGGAGGATGGAGTATGTTTTGTTCCTTCGAATTCCAACTGGATTTCCTCCGTTGCGTAAATGTTCAAAAGTGCCTGCACTTCAGCATCTGTCCATCTATCGCTGTTCTCCATACTTGCGAAATAAGTTGACACAATGTTTACAGTATGTTTACACGGCGTTTTAAATCATGGCGGGTGAGGGCGTTTTCGTACACGTTTGGCCAATCAATGTCTACTTATGTCACGGGTAGTACCAGTTGTGCTGGTTAGACCCTGCTACGGAGTAGGAGCTAATTTGGTTCTCGAAAAAGGCAGTCCGATACTAAAATCACACCCAGTTCCCGGCGGTGCGAAAACGCCAAAAAGGGGGTAGTTCCGCAATTAGTTCTGGTACTATGAAAAGGTTCTCGCGGTGCGAAAGGCCCTAAAGTCACCTACATCTTGGATGCCTGGGGGTAAGCAGATAAACATCAAATTTTCATTTTTGGGTGAACTATCCCTTTAATACTGAAAAATGCAAATAATATCTATAATATTGGCAAAACAAATTCATTATTTGTTAAGCATTTTAATCAAAGTTATTAAAAATTTAACCACTCCATTATTATTTAATAAACAGCAGATTATTGAGGTGGATGTTCTCACCATGGTTGGCCTGTCGTAGGTTGGTGGTGGCAGCATAAACAATCTCTGCAGTCTTCTGGATGTCAGGAACTAGCAGGGTGAGGCCTTCTGGCTCAGGATCAGATGTCTCCGGCTTCATCACCCCTTTACTTTTGTCTTTCTTTGACCTAAGGTGGACAAAGGATCATCAGAAATCACATTTCTGTAGACACTAGCAAATTAATTAAGAGTCTTTATTTGTGTTTGCATGCATGTGAACATGTGAAATGTTTCATTTTCTAACGACCACAACAATGACAGAAAAAAAAAAAAAACAAGTGCATGTCCTCAAGAACTTCTCAGCCTCTCATGTCCCAACCCAGACACAAACACACACGCTCTCATCCTGAGAGGTGCTAGTACACACTGAACGCATCAAATGAGCAGCAGATTGTGACTTGTCCCAAAGTAAACCATTAAAAAAAAATGTCCAGCTGTCTTGTGGCTAAGCACACACCCTCACAACATGCATCTTTCATTAAGCAGGAGGAGAGAAAATGAAAGAGACAGACAAATGAGAAAGGGGACATGTCAGAAATGTCCTTTACCTGTAGTTGACACATAATTAAGATGGCCCCGTCATTCAAAGGCCACTTGGACAGAGCCAAGCTCGTGGCTTCGCCCTGTGACTAACAGGCCAACGCCAATAACATCTCACTAGCCACGAAGACTAAGCCATTATTAAATACAGACAGCTGATAACAAATCACAGTCTCTCACTACTCTACATATCCACCTGTGTTATTACTTGAAGCAAGCAGACTCACAATCTTTACCTGGAGGATGATAAAAAAGGTAAAAAAAAAAATCCTTAGGCTTATATTGAAGCCTTATATTGGGACGTAAAACACATTAAAGCTAAATAATCTTAAAAAAGAAAATTAATTTATCAATTTATAAAAAAATTAAAGAATATTTATTTTTTAAATTTAAATTAATAACTCAAATACTTTGATTATTTTTTAAATTACAATATTAATACAAGAAATTTAAATAAAAATAAAATAATAATAAACAAATGATAGAAATAAAATAAATAAATAAATGTGTAAATTAAAAACCTAAAATAAAAAAAAAGAAAAAGAAAAAGAAAAAAGAAAAAATATTATTTCTGATAAACAATACATTGCTAAAAATCAAATTCATCATTTATTTTTTGTGCTGGGTCCAGCAAAAATTGTGGCAAAAACGAAAAGGCCAAAGCTGAATTATGGACAAGCATGGAACGGCAAAAGCTCAGGACAGTCTGAAGGCCACTGGGGATTAGAGGCTTTTCGAGGGCAGGTGAGGAGCACTGACTGATCTAGCAGTCATTTATCACTGTGTGTTACTCCTCTGCTGAAACACTGGTTTTGACTTGTGTCTATAGCATCAGGTTACATCTTGTGGGTATAAGTGTTTTCCATGCAGGTCAGAGAGTGAGTGTCACAGGGCGGGCTTCCATCCATCAGCAGTCACTCTGTCTGTCCTGTGTCCATTAGTGTGACCAACAGTTGGACTGAATGTGTGTGTGTGTATGTGTGTATCTAAGAGGAAGAGCTCACCTGAGGCGGTTGGTGTAGGTGTCCACACATGTCTTCATCTTGGCCAGTAACATGCCAACAGACGTCTGACACTCAGTGTGTTCTTCATCCTCCTCTTCCTCTGCAGCGTCTCCTGATAGCGGCAAGAGCAGAGGAACCAGGCTGGTGCAGGTGGAGATGGCCCTCAGCAGCTCCAACAGAGCACACCAGAAAAGAGGGGGGGCAAACAATGGAGGAGAGGAGATGGCAGACAGCTCTAGAAAGGAGGAGAGGAAATGATAAGGAAGGTTAAGGCAGCAGAGAAGACAAGGAAAGACAAGTGGAAAGGTGACCAGAAAGGAGAAAAGAACAGAATGGAGGACAGGAGGAAAGGAGCAAGCAGAGGGAAAGGAGAGAAGAAATAAGGAGAACAGAAAGGAGGGGAGGAGATGAGAAGAAACAAGAAAAGAGTGGAGGAAAGACGACAAGATGAGGAGGAGACCTGAAATGATGAGAAGGGAGGATTCAAGAAAGGAGAAAGCAGAGTAGAAGACCAGAAAAGATGTAAAAATAATAATAGAGAAAAGAGAAATCAAGA